GGGGGGGAGGCGAGCAGATTCTTTTTAATCACTTTGCAACTAGAGATGAGAACCAAGTGCACGCTGCAGCAACCTGTAGCAACCGATCGGCGGTTCTTTATGGCTGACTGCACTCGGCCGTTGAGCTTGAACGGGTCTACTGTGTTGGGGGGGGCAGCACAGATTCCTTTTAATCACTTTGGAACTAGAGGTGAGAACCAAGTGCACGCTGCAGTAACCTGTAGCAACCGATCAGCAGTTCCTTGTGGCTGACTGCACTCGGCTGTTGAGCTTGAATATGTCTACTGTGTGTGTGGGGGTTGGGGGACGCAGATTCTTTTAGGCTAGGTTCCCACCTAGGCGATTCAGATGCCGAACTGTTTTTGCGTGGTTCGATCGTGTGACTGTTCATTGTAAACCGCGTCTTTCAAGGCATAGAGATGTGTATGGGACCTAAATCGCGCGACATCCGCCCGAAAATAGCTCCTGCACCTTTTCGCGCTTAAACCGCAAAGTTGTGAGCAGCCTCCATTGACTTCAATGCAAATCTGTGCTTTGCGCGATATCGTGCAGGTGTGCACCGGCCCTCAATCCCTTTGCATCTAGCGATGAGAACCTAGTTCCCTGATGGATGGGGGGCTGGCTGCCTAACGCACCCAAAAAAGGTGAATTCAGCATTTTTTGGGCAGAACAGTGTAGTAACACAAGTGCATTGTGTAGGTGTGTTGCATTTTGCATCAACGCATGTAATATGTGTTACTGCAGCTTGATAGTATGAATGGGCCCTTAACCTCTTAGATGCTGAAACATTTCCCAACTTTTGGGCAGTGATCTTATCTGCAACACACCGTGATCAATAGAAGTCTGATGAGATCACTAGCAGTTAAATGTCGTATGTACCGGCTGTCGGAACACAATAGCCGGCAGGGGCTATTAAGCATGGATGGGGGGACTGATGTGGAAAATAAATATACATGTATGGCCAGCTTTAGGTGCAAATAGTGATGAGGCTGGGTTTGGTGGGAACCTAGTTGGCCCAAGCCCGTGCAAAACTCTGACCGCAACGCCCACCTCCCGAAACAAACAGTTACAGGGAAGCGCATTGCGCTAGAGATGAGCGCCTTGTTCCCTGATGGATGGGGGAACCAAGTGGGCTGAACACGGGGGAAACAAAATATGTGTATGGCCAGCTCTGGGTGCAAATAGCAATGAGGCTGGGCTTGGTTGGAACCCAGTTCGCCCACTTGCGCAAAACTCTGACTGCCACTCCCACCTCCCAAAACAAGCAGTTGCAGGGAGGGGCATTGCAACTAGATATGAGAACCTAGTGCATGCTGCAGTAAGCCATAGCAACTGATCAGCAGTTCTTTAGCACTCGCTGCACTCGGCTGTGGAACTTGAACGGTCTATTGTGGGGGCTACGGAGATTTTTAAAATCTCTTTGCAATAGACATTGGAACTTAGTTCCCTGATGGATGGGGGAACTGAGTGGTCCAAACGCAGGAAAAAAAAGAAAAAAAATGTGTATGGCCAGCTTTGGGTGCAAATGGTGATGAGGCTGGGCTTGGTGGCAACCCAGTTCGTTCAAACCTGCGCAAACTCTGACTGCCACTCCCACCTCTGGACCCAAGCAGTTGCAGGAAGGTGCATTGCAACTAGAGATGAAGACCGAATACCCTGAGTTCGCCCAAGCCTGCTCAAAACCAATCCACACCCTATCCATGGTGTGCAGCTATATGTCACAAAGGTCCGGGAATGCCACTGCCGCCATGGATTGGGTCGGGGGAGGCGGTCAGAGTTTTGAGCAGACTTGGGGGAACTAGGTTCTCATCTCTAGTTGTAATGCGCCTCCCTGCAACTGCTTGGGTCGGGAGGTGGGATTGGTGGTCAGAGATTTGCGCTGACTTGGGTGAGCCCAGCCTTATCTCTATTTGCAATCAAAGCTGGCCATACATGTATCGTTTTTATCCATGTTCAGGCCGCTCAGTTCCCCCCCCCATCCACGTTGAACAGCCCCCGCAAACTATTGTATTCTGACAGCTGGTGCCCGCAATATTTAACTGGTTATCATCTCTATAGACTACTATTATAGAATATTACCGTATATTGATCACAATGTGTTGCAGATCAGATGACTGCCCAAAAGTTGGGAATTCTTTCAGCATCTAAGACGTTAAAGGAGAACTATGGGGTTAAGGCTTTTCCCCATAGTTCTCCTTAGGGTAACGGGAGGACACAAACTAGCGTCCTCCTGTCACCCTAGGCTCAGTAGACGCCGCAGTATACCGTGAGCTGGCTCTGCCTATCTAGAGGCAGAGCCAGCTATACCCGCCCCCCTCCCCCGTCCGTTCCGCCAGTCAGCGCTGGCGGAGGGGGGAATCCAGCCCCTCCCCTGTCACGGCAGAGAGCCGTGACAGGATCGAGAGGTGAGTGAACGCCGGTATGTGTTCGCTCACCTCCCGATCTACTGAGCCGACCTGTGTCAGTCTCATTGTCACAGGTCGGCTAGAACTATGAGGTGAGTGAAAAGCGCTCACCTCATAGTTCTCCTTTTAAGGGCTCATTCATACCATCGCGCAGCAGTAACACGTGTTACCCATGTTGGTGCAATGCACCTACACAATGCACTTGTGTTACTATGCTGCTCTGCCCCAAAATGCTGAATGCACCTTTTTTGGTGCATTAGTCAGCTGGTTGAAATGAATGCGCTGCCTTAACGTTACGTGTGCGCTAATGCAGGGCAACCGTGTAAAAGGATGTCCCATGTAGCCGTAGCCTTAGAGGGGCTTGTTTTATTACATTGCAGAGTGCCCTAAACCTTGGTAGCTAATGAGAGCTCGGCTTTCAATACCTATCCACTTTAAACCTTTCAAAGCTGACTCCTTATTGGTTGTTTTTGGGGGTTCGTGAGCCTATGTGCATGGCGTTGTTAGTCGAGTGCTAAAGAGAGTGAACTTATCTTGGACGGAAGGGGTTAAATGTTGAAATGCACCATTTTGCTTTATGAGCACTGCAAACTGGGCTTGCCTTTGTGAGTTTTATAAACGTTTGATTGACAGCTGCCAAGTTGCGATGTTGCCTGTGCCATTGATGAAAATTCCAGTGCAGATGCAGATTTTCCCCCATTGTAAATGTACGGACCGCTGTTCGCTTCAGCAGCTGAAGTGTCACTTTCCATGATGCCGTCCTGACAACTTTCCCATGGGCAGCGGGCATCTGAAAATAGTGCCTTAATGTAGCATTATTGGCAGCGCTGGCCGCCAAGGTGAAAAGTACTAAGTTGGCAAGTTAGAGATAATGCACAAAGCGCTGTGCCAGCTGAGATCAGGGAATTAACCGGCTCCCCACAAGTGGCTCTCCATACACTTTCAGTAAGTAAGTGTTTTCTAGATTAACTTGCATGCCGTCTCTTCTTATCTGCTGTCATTTTGTGTGTCCGGGTAGATACAGAAAGGATTGTATTATGATCATGTCCAGTGGTCGGTCATGTTGGGGGTTGTAGTGTTCTATGTATAGAGTGTAATAGAATTGTATTAT